CACTAAATACAAAGACATTGAATCGATATTAGAAGAAATTAAAGAGAATAAAACATTTGATGTGGAAGAAAAATTTAACTATGAAATTGCAAGAAATTTGTTTAAAGAATTAGGAGAGACAGGAGAAGAAATTGATAAAAAAATTAGAGTTAATTATGAATCAATTGATAAAATTAAAATAAAAGAATTTCTGTGTGATGAGAAAGCATTTGATGAAACGAGAGTTGAAAATGGTGTTAATAAAATTATAAAAGCAAAAAATAAACCAAAACAATTGAGACTTCGTTTTAAATAAAATTGATTATTAAATATTAACTAACTACTTTAAAATAAACGTTTTAATATTGAAAAAAAGTATAATTTAGTTTAAAATTTTTATTTTGTTAAAAATTTCAATTGTAATAAAAACACACTCTTACTAAACCTTTTATCTTTTTCTAAAACATAAATTAAATCATCAACTGTAATAATTCTATTATCTTGTTGTTTCTCAAAAGCTTGATAATCTATTTGCGCATACAATTGTTCAAATCTATTAATATCATCATCTTTTTGTGAATCATGCTTCATCCAACTTTTCTGTTTAATTCCCATTGCTGCCATTGCAACTGTGTTACTTTGCCTCTTTTTTATAACAAGATCTTCTCTTTCTGTTACTTGTTTTCTTTTCTGTCTTTCTTCTTCTTTTTTTAGATTTAATTTTAAATGTAACTCTTTTTCATATTCATTAAGATACCATAACTGTTTAGAATGTTCATTTAACACTCCCATATCTCTTACTAACACTCCTGTGTTTGTTCTTAATTTTGAGGCTTCATTTAATTTATCTAATAAATCTCTTATTTTTCTATAAAGTGTATTAAATATTAAATTAACTGCATCCTCTGTTATTTTTACATTTCTATTAATACAACAAGAATTTATAAATTTAGTTAATTGATTTACATTAAACATATCATCAAATCCATTAAGTGTGTTATCAAATCCAACATTCTGTAAATTTCCTACATAATCAAGATCTTTCGTTATATTATCTGCTTCTTCCTTTAAATCAATACCTGTGTAATGCATTACATCATCAATATTATCTTTCTTTTTCTTTTCTTCCCTACCATCACCTTTCTCCTCTCCTCTATCATCATAAGTCTCTTCTCTTTGTGGTTTACTTGTTATATTTGTTTCTTCCGACTCAAAAAACAATTGATCATATTCATCAGTATCTAAAACACTTTTACAAATATCTATAAAATCATTATACTGTATAGATCCACCCTTCAACGAATAGTATGTCTTTTCTATTAACTCCTTCTTTTCTTTATCTAATTTCACATAAAAATCTCTGTTTATCTTCATTTCTTTTTAATTAAAATTATTTTAAATTTTTATTTCAATTTCTTCTATTAAACTTTCACTTAATTCTCTAACTAATTTAAGTTTATCAACTAAAATTGTTACTATTTTATATTCATCTTTACTTATTTTAAACCCATCTAATATTTTGTATTCACTATTAATTATTATTTCTATAGAATTATCATTTAATGTAATTGATTTGATTTCATAACTTGATATATCTAATTTTTTTATCTCATTGAATATTTTTATACTTTGACCATTTGAATATACTTTTATTTGACTTATATCACATTTAACCTTAAAATATATTCTTTTATCATTAGAATATATAGGTATGAGAGTATCTTTATATTTAATATAATCTATGTTGATTTTATTATTATTTTCTATAAAAGATAGTCGATAAAAATCATCTTTTCATATTTATATTTATCAGTATTATAAATAATATTCCCTGTTTTTAGTTTTATATCCCATTTAATAGATTTATTTTTGTTAATATCAGACAACAAATTATATTTATCTACTTTCTTAATTCTATCTAATAAGTATTGCTTTAACTCATTATAACAGTGTTTATCACACTCAACTAAACACTTATACAAAATTATTAATGTTTTAGTTATACTAAGTTTATAATTATTACAAACAAAAAGCAATAAATAAATCTTATAATCATCACTGTATATACTTTCATTGTCTCTTAATAATAAACTAATTTCATTAAAAGATAAATTAAAACAAGTATCTTCTAAACTAAGGACTGGGTTATTCTTAATATAAAAATCATACTGATCTAAAATATTTGTAGGTTTATTTGTAATCTTTTCAATTTTATCCAAATCATTAGTCTTTAAATAAAAATCAATTAATCCTCTATAAGAAACAATATTATCTTTTAAGTATTTAAAATATTTAGGTAGGTAATCTCTTAATTTTGTGATGTATTCATCAAATGTTTCATCCTTTTGTAAATATTTAATAACATCTTTATATTTAATAGCATCAATAGATTTATGATTAATAAAGTAGTAGATATTGTTTTTCTTGTACGAATAAATATCAATACGCATACCTAATACAGATTTAGGTATTTTCATTATGTTTATATTAAATGAGTTAATAGATATAAATCTTTTGAATTTGTTAGAATTCATGTGATAAACTTTTATATAGTTAAGCATTAATTTGTTTATTAAAACAAACAAATTTTTTTCTATAAATTAATGTTAACTAAATTGATACAACTATTTTTATTAATTTGGATTTACTGGTCAGTAAATTTGTTTCTTAACAACAAAACAATAGGTAAAGCAGATTTTCCATTTAATAAACATAGAGAACTCTTCCTTACAGTTATTTCAGCGAGATTTACAATGTTTTGTTGTTTACTGTATAACTTTAGTAAAAGAATATTTAGAATGATCTATCCAATCATGTTAATATTAAACATATACGTTACTATATCATTCTGGTCTCTATTTTTCTATGATTCAGATCTGATAATTAATAAGAATTTACTTAAAGCAGAATACTCGCTAAAATACTATCACTTATTACAACTAGGATTACACTTAGCACCTTTATTATTGTCTATTACCTATTTTAGACAAAAACCATCAAGAAATTCTTTTATCATGCCTATAATTTATTTAATTTTATCATTCTATTTAATGATAGTTTCTAAAAATAAAGATTATAACTGTTTTACTCCTTACGAATTCATAAATAGAATGTCGTTTGTGCAATTTGTGACATTTATTGTTTTTGAGATAATTTTTCTTAAATTATTGTATTTAATAACAATAAATTGATTAATTGAGTTATTTGTCTCTTAATTTATTAAAATCTTCTTTATTAAATTCTTTTATACACTCTAAAATATTTTTTACAAAAGAAGGTCTTTTTCTCATTTCACTTTTATATTTGTCTCTTAAATTCTTTCTAGTTTTATTTTCAAAAAGGAGATTTAACATTGAGAAGTCACAGCCAACCAGTGACAATCCTTTAAAGAATAAATCATTTTCCTCTTTAGTCCATTTTACTCTAATAGCCTTATTTTTAGAGTAAGTAGAACTCGTAACAATCCCTTCATCTAATTTCTCTTGTTTTTCTAAAACTACAATATGACCATCTACTACTTGAATAGATGAAGTGGTTTGTTGTGATTGGTGTTTTTGTGTATTTGATTTAGTGGTTTTAAAGTTATAGTTATTACAATAGTAAGTTAAATCATGATCATCAGAATTTCTCATTTAAATATTTTGTTATTAAAAAGGGTTAAAAAACAAGTCAAAATAAAATGATGGAAAATTTAATTTAGAACATCAAATTTTGAATTAAAATTTATCATTTAAATAAGCATAAAGTTTGATTAGATTTGTTTATTTTAAATTTTAAAAAAATAATCTAAAAAATTTTTAATAAATAATCAATGGAGGTAAATGATCTTGATGATGCAATAAAAAGATTATCATTCTATAAATTAGCAGATAGACACGAGGATATGGCAAGAGAAACAATAAGTATACTGGAGATGATGCATAAAGAGGGTAAGGAAATGGATGAATTTGTAAGGGAGAACTTTTCATTGTCACATAAGAACATGTTAAGTCCACTTAGAAATTCATTGAGAGCACTTATGACAGAAGCAGACAAATATAAGGATGATAAAGAGAATCATGAATATAAAATATTAAAGGAAATTATAGTTAAGATAACGAATAATATAATGGAAATAAGTGATGGTGTATTAGACGCAATAGAGAAGTTTGTGGATTTAAAAGAAAAAGAAGATCAAATGATTAATTATGTTTATTTTATAAAGATCAAGGGAGACTTTTATAGGTATAAAGCAGAAGTGACAATAGGACCATCTAGAGAAGAATATAGAGATATGTCATTCAAGTATTACAGTGAAGCAAGAGAGAAAGGAAATTTCCTTAAAGCTTCAAATCCAATCTGGTTAGGATTAGCTCTTAACTTATCAGTACTTTACTATGAGACATTTGAGAATGTAGAAGAAGCACTTAAATTAGCACAAGAGTCATTTGAAGCAGCAATTCAACAATTAGATATTTTAACAGATGAGAATTATAATGAATCTACATTAATAATGCAACTATTAAGAGATAATATAACTTTATGGACTGTTCAAGCTAAGGAGAAAAGAATGGATTCACCTTTATTACAAAAACATTCTCAAGTTGATATTGAAGCAGATTTAAATTCTACTAAAAATGAATTAAATTTAAATTCTACTAAAAATGAATCATTAACAGAATCTAAACTTAATGAAACTTTAAATGAATCTAAAATGCTTGAAGATAATAAATTGTAATAGATTTAATTTTGATTTATTTATTAAAGTTTTAAAGTAATTATTTGATAAAAAGATTTTAAATCTTTAAATAAAATTTATTAGAAAATGAAATGTTTTAAGAGAATTTTTAATCTTAATTTATTAAAAGTTATTCTATGTGAATACAAAATTGATAAAGAGAATAAAAGATTAAATAAATTTGACAAAATCAGCAGTATTTTTGAAGTAATTTAAATAACAAAAGACTGTTTTTAACAAAAGACTATCTAAGCTAATGGTACTCGCTGTTACGTTTCCGTCCTCACGCACTCCTCATTGATTTATAAGACCTCTCAGATAGATTAATCCATCCTACCAATCTATCTCAAATATCTTTGAATTAATTGAGAAGAAGTGACTCTTCCTCACTAATTAATGGGGTGAAAATATTTATAGTTTAGTTTTAATAAATTTTATTGAAAAAATTAATAAAAATTGTTTTTAAATAAAATTAAATTGATTTAATTAATAATTAATGAAAAAGGTTTTTTAAAAAAATAAATTTGATTTAATTAATAATTAAATTAATTTTGTTTATTTTTTATATAATATTACTAATATATAAATATTTAAACAGGTTTTTA